CCCACACTCGAGATGTCACTGGCCGACTCCGAGGCAGGTGGAGAGGGCGCCACGGGGGGGCGGCCAGCTGAAGGGCCACCGCGAGGTCCGCAGCGGAAACTCGGGTGCGGCCCTGTCCGGAACCACCGCGGCCCGAGGGAGGGTTGGCCGGCTCACGAGACGGAGAGCGGGAGCGCTCAAAGATATCGTCGTCCTCCTCGTTATCGTCGAAGTGGGAGTGGCGGGGGCGACGGTGATGGGAGCCATCGGCATCCGCGGGCCCGCCCCCCTGAAGGCTGTCGGCGAAGAGGCGAGGGCGGCCGATATGGTTCGGCGGCTCGGGGCATATGGTGAGGTCGTAGCCATCGTCGTTGAAGAAGACCCGAAGCGTGGCGTGGAGCTTGGAAGCGTCGAGGCATTTCACCTTGACCCGGACCTCCTCCTCCTTGCACAGAGACAACTCGTCGACCACCACCACCTTGCCCAGGATCTTGGACATACTGCGAATGACCCGCTCAGACCGGGCCACATCAGGGAGGCCGGCGATGAGGAGCCAAGCAGTGTCCAGGACCGCCACGGCCTTGGGATCCCACCTCGGCTCGGAGATGTTCACCACAATCCCGTTGAGGGCCAAGGTGATGTTGTCGCTGCGGGTGCAGAAGCCCATGCTCATGGCGTCGGGGAAGATCACCGAGAAGGCGTTGGGCGCGGAGGAGGTAACCTGCCAGTCCCACTTGCAACGGCAGAGGTGGTTGAGCTCGGCCTCGATCAGAGCCGGAGTGGCGACGCCCTCCCCCACGACCGTCACAAGGGCCAGGAGCGAGGGGGAGGGAGGCGGGAGCTCTGGCACCTCGATGTGGAAGAAGCCCATGTCCTCGATGCCGTGGCCATACATCATGATCTCCTCCGTGACCGGGCGCTCCGGACAGAGAACCGCGGGGTGTCCAGCCTCCTTGCAGAGGTAACAGGTCGGTGGGTTGAGGCAAGCCACCTGAAAGTGGCCTGGCACGCCGCAGTTGAAGCACGGGGGACCCTCGGAGGCGGCGACGGTACCCGAGGCCGGAGTCACCGCGGCGGCGGAGGGGGCGGCAGGAGGGGGGCGAGGCGGCCCCTTCTTCTTCTTCTTCTTAGCGCCCTGGCGCCCACAGTTCCCGTTGTCGCCGTTGGAGGGCGGGAAGGCTGCTTGGGCGCGCGGA